TGGAGGGGGAGGGGGGGTAGAGGCGGCGCGCGCAAGCAGCTACATGGCCTCCAGCGGCTCCACGCAGCGGCCCGGCGGGGAGCAGAGAGCAGACCGCCATAGAGCTCTTTAGAGGGAATAATGCTACACCCACCCACTTTACAGCGATAAGGGCGATCTGAGAAGAGGGTCGAGAATCTGGATAGAAATGCAACCACGGTGGCGGGTGTGGTATGGTTTGGTGGTGTATGGTGGGTGTGTTTAGAGAAGGGAGGGGGTGGTCGACAGCGCGTCATGGAGAGGGGTTGGACGCCCCATAGTGCGTCTCACATTACATGGCTCCAGGGGGCCGCCCCCCCCCCCCCCCCCCCTCCCCCGCCCACTACACCTCTCTGTGCGAGAGCCGCTTCATGTCAGCTGCAGCACGCCGACGGGACAATATGGAGGGGTGGGGGAGGGGTGGGGCAGCGAGGGATCGCGGGATTGAAAAAGAGAATAGGCGGGAATGAGGACGCAGCAGGGATGGGGGATGGGGGGGGGGAGATGGAGGGGAGGGTGATGGGTAAAACGAGATCGGCTGGCTGGCCGGCCTGTGCGGGTCGGGCGGCGGGGGCCGGTCGGCTCTCCAGTGTCGGTAGAGAGCAGCCCAGCCTTTCACAACCGTTGGATGACACACGGGAGGGGGGGATGGGAAGGTATGGGGAAAGATGAGTGGGAGCAGATAGTCGAGATGGTCCCGCGCAGAAGAGCGCCGCGAGGAAATTGAACGCACATTGTGAATGTGATTGCGGCCTCGCGGAGGGCGTCGGGGAGGAGCGGTACAGGAGAGGGGGAGGGGAAGAAGTCGTTTGTGCGGAGCTATAAGCATGCACCGCCGCCTGCGAGCGCCCGGGTAGGCCTTCCCGCAATGCAGCCGCGAGGCCCCGCTGCCTACCCCACAGGCGGCCCCCGAACCTTTATCTCTCTCGCTCTCGTTCTCCTCACCCTATCTCTCTCTCTCTCTCTCTCTCTCTCTCTCTTTCTTCCCTCCTGCCCCCCCCCCTCTCCCCCGCGCACACACCACCCATACCACTCACCGAGCACTCTGACGGCGACGCTGCGCCGTGCCGACTCGCCGCCGGGCGCCGTCGCGATGCACGTGTACTCGCCCTCGTCCACCGACTTCTGCACGTCCACGATGACGAGCGTGCCGTTGTGGAAGACGCGCTGACGGTGGGGCGACGAGGGCAGCGGGCGGCCTGTGTGGAAGTACAGTAGATAAAGTTCAGATCACGCAGGGAGCTCAGTAGTGGTGAGTGATGACTTGCGGTGAAATCCACCGTGCGGTTTTAACCGAGGTGTGTTTACCGGGCTGACTGTACTCCGGGTGTACTTCCGGGCGTACTCACCGTCCTTCTCCCAGGTCACGGTCCGGATAGGGTGGCCGGCCACGAGGCAGCGCAGCACCTCGTCGCGCCCGGCCACCAGGGAGCGCGGCGCCAGCGGCTTGACGTGCGGCGGGCCGCGCAGCACCAGGCGCGCCGCGTGGGCCGCCCGCCCCGCCGCGTTGGAGGCCTCGCACGTGTACTCGCCCGCGTCGTCCGGCCGCAGCGCCGTCAGGTTCAGGTAGCTGGAGCAAGCAGGCATTCATTAGCAAAGGAAAACACGTCATCATCGGCGTCATTGTCATTATCATATCATCATCATCATCATCATCATCATCATCATCATCATCATCATCATCATCTCATCGTTTTCACACTCTGTCGTACATATCAGGCTTGATCGTAAAAGAAAACTAAGACAAGCTAAAATCCTTCGTAATTTCCAAATTTGGTAAATTTGTAACTCGCCGACCAGAACTTCCAGTTTTTAAAATATGAGCACGAAGCTTTACGATATTGGTCATGGTTATTTTCCCGAAAAATCTACTGCATTATTTTCTCACGCTACCCTGGTCGAGTCGGCATCATCTTTAGCCCCATCCGGCCATCACCATCGTCCCCATCCCCATCCTCACTGTCCACATCATCAACCCCCCTTCCCGGGCAATCCAACTCTTGAGTTTCCGGGAGCCCGTCGGACGCCTGGGACGGCACACCATCGCCTTCTAATTAGCATTGTTTTTCGCAGCATCGCTTTAGCACTTTTGACGTCCGGCTGCGCGAAAGCAGCAGCTCTGGGAAAGTTCTGATGACCTGAGTCAGGCCGTCGGGGGAGGAGAGGAGGGGGAGGGGGGTACATCCCGACTGCGCGGCGGGGGATATGGTCAGGCGAAGGAGAAACGATGGCGAAAAACGTCGGGCGGGAGAGACGTTGGAAAGACTTTTGTCCGATATCCGAGGACCGTCTTTGTAATTGAATACTTTCAATACAACTTCGGCCAAAGCGTCACCCTTCTCACTTTATAATAACAAGAAAACTGTGTGATCTCACGCAGAGGAAAAAATCTTTTAGATTTCGTTGGTTTCAGTGCTAATTTGATTAACGCATATTCCCCTTATCTGAAGAAGGAGGAGCAGGTACGCTAAACCGTTTGCAGAGTCATAGTAGGACAGATAATACGTTGCGAGGCGAGTTTTCAAGAGAGATTTTGCTGAATCGATTTTGCTAATAAAGTTAGCTGAGATACCAAAAACTAACAGTTCTGACCGCCTGTCTGCGTGCACTTACGGAGCTGTTCAATTTCGGACAAGAGGTTCTCCAGCAGATCGTCCCTGCTTCTATATTTACCCTTCCACAACTGCACGCTTTCATCTCATACTTATTTCATTCTCTCTCCAGCCGGCATAATATTTCTTGGCATCGCACTGTTGAACCCACTCTGAGAATACAGCGACAGTAGGGCAAGTCCCGCTTGAGCAACAGCAGAACGGACTGTGGCACTGGTGCAAATGGGCGAGTTCCGGAAAATCGCAACAACAGTAAAACATTACCCTCTTTTGAACGACCGGGTAACATCAGTTACAATGTCCTATAGGACAACAGTATACTGTTGGATTTTCAGCGTTAAAAGCTCATCTATGAACATTCTGATAACACGTCCGTTCGATGCTGCATCTATAAGCATAACATCCAGCTGACTTGTAGCGTGTTTCGCCACGAAACACACAAAAACAAAATTGATGACGTTTCCCGTCGCCCGATTGTTTCGGTCTGGACCAGGGGATGACGCTAAGCCAACGTTCGACAGGTTTCTATCCACGCGGGTCCCCGCGGCGGCGGTCCCACTACGGCGCTGCCGAAGCCAGCGCACCCGGGCGCCGCCGGGCCGCCGCCGCCAGGGCCCCGCGCAGACAAGTTGACGGCCGCGCTGCTCTTCCCCAACCAGCGCCTGTTTGCGGCAAGACAGGCGTCACCCCCCGAGACTCCTGTCTGCGTCAAACTTAGCCAACTCCGGTGGCGGCAGCAGCCATCTCGGACGAACTCAAAGCAAATAAGTGACGTGCTGCGGCGGGGGTCGCTGTGGTTTTTCTGACGCCTCCTCCCTTCCCCAACCCTCTTGCCCTCAACGCCTCCCTGCGTTGTTCTCTCTCTCTTTCTTCCTCAAGCTCCACTCCCACATAACTCTAAATCTATGAACGTTCTGGAGCAAAGCACAAATCTACACCAAATTTCAAAGATGGACTTTTTAAAAAAAGTTCCTTTTTTGGGGTATGCAAAATTTAAAGACATGGAGTTATGATTAAGTAAACGTCGTGGACAAAATAACTGGAGTAGGGTAACTCGCCCGGGCTATAGGGCCACGGAAGCCGGGCTGCACTTCCTGCGCGGATCTTTTTATATGAAATATCTTTTTCGAGGGGCCCGCCTCTTCCTCGCTGGCACAGCGCGCACCGGTAGCGGTAGCGAACCCTCGGGCGGAAAGCGCAGCCGGCCGGCACGCAAGGCGAGAGAGAGAGAGTGAGAGAGAGAGAGAGAGAGAGAGAGAGAGAGAGACGAGAGTGCACATCTTCTCTGTCTCCTTCACTCCCACTCAGAAACTACGGCCTTTGCGTCATCCAGTACTCCATATTTCCCCTTACTACTTGCTCTCTCATAATCCCGTCGTACACGTCCCTCGCGTTGGGCTCCGCTCTAGTTCTTCCCTCGGTACTACAGTGACGGCACACGGACCAAAAACGGAATCCAAGAAAATTTTACTTCCGTGAAACAATTTTTCACCGCCCTGACCACATAATTTAGTCATCACTCTACGAAAAATTACAGATTTTTGTATGAAATTTGTTTTAGTTTTCTGTGTCCGGGCA